GTCTGGTGTCTGCTGCTGAAATTTGATTGAAGTACAGGTTTATCTTATCACAAAATGACACTATTTAAGAAACCATTAAAAGCTAAAGCCACTACGGAGTTATTCTGTTTTAGTTTGGAAATTTTCTATAGCCCATGAACACATACAGACACTATCAAAGCTAAACCTATGAATGCAATACAGGAAAGGTTACAAATCTCAACAAGAAATCCGCTTTCATTTGCTTGCTTTATTCTTACCTTTGAATGCATTTGTGATGATGTAATCTACGCTAAGGATGTTATTCATCAAACTTTTGAAAATAACTAAGACAAGTACATGTATTGGTTGACACTGATTGTGCTTTATATCGCGAATTGGCAGAAGTTGGGATTTGTAGGCCGGTGGATGGAGTCCTGAAGAGTCCCAGTTTCGAACCCCATTGGATGCGTGCTGATAAATATTCCCGAAGTACGACGAAACAGCTGCCCAGTACTCTCTGGTCTCCCAATGTTCCTCTTAGTGATGTTATTTCATGATCAAACCTTTGATACCGATACATTTGTTAGCCGGAATCATCGGTCACTCAGAACATATATTTAGGCATTAATACTATAGAATGGTAATTCAGCTCTCATTCGACTAGCTCACTTCATTAGTGAAGTTGCAAAGAATAACTTAAAAAACAGTATTGAATTTGAGAATTAAGAGGAAACTATTGAATTTTCCCTCCTTCTTTTATGTGTAGCAATTTGGTTAAGTTTTGAGGGTGGAGTTGCTAGCACCACGCCCCAACCCTCCCTCTTTATCCGGGCTTGGGACCGGCTAGAATACTAGTGACCTAGTAATCTAGGCGAGGTCATTTCTTCTATACGGATCAGAAACTTGGTGGGTCACAAAGAATATTTCCAACAGCCTGTTGCAGACCTTTATCAACAACTGTCTTCGTTCTATACTGAAGATCAGATGGCCGGAAAGAATCACAAACAAGAAACTATGGGAACAAACAAAACAAGAACCAATCGCCCAACAAATATGCAGGAGAAAGTGGAGATGGATCGGACACTCGCTGAGGAGGCTGTTGGGTGACATCGCGCATCAGGCCATAGCTCGAGTGGAAGCCGAAAGGGAAGCGGCGAGTGGGACGTCTAAGGTTGATATGGAGGAGATTGTGTGAAGACGAGTTGAAACAGTATGGAATAACATGGATGCAGGTGAAAAGTACAGCAGAAGACAGAAGCAAGTGGAGAAGTGTAGTTGAAGCCCTATGTTCCACTAGGAACCCAAGGGAACAATAATAATAATAGGAGAATTAATCGAAAACAGTTGTTCGCTCAAAATCATTTTGTTCTTCATCTTTGTTAAACAACTCTCGTGTCATCGATTTTCATTAATCTGATTATTACTCACTTAACTTTTTAACTTTATCCTATGTAAGCTGCACTATCCAGCTAAATATTTAGTTTTCATAATTTTTATATAGCTTAGGCGATTGACATCCGAAGTGTTAAGCCTAAGCTATACTTTCAGCCTTTCATACATTCACTATTTTCCTCTCCTAATTCGTTAAGACCTAACTGAGTGAGTGAACTTAATGTTTTCAATCGTTTTCGTACCACTTTTTTTGTCAGTCTCTCCTTAGTCTTATCGCATCTTTAGTGTAACTTACTTAGTTTTATCATTTACCTTACAGCCTAGTATTAGGTAATGTGACCGTTTGTTTTCTTAGCCTTTATAGAATTCGATTTAAGCAAATACGTGTTTTCGGGAAATTCTCATCAGGCTTTACATTTACATAATGACGAAATATTAATCATAGACATTTGAATCAATATGATTAATCAAATATACGACCAGAGTTCAGAGATGTGAATTAGTGGATAACAATCTAGGTGATCATCATAATAATAACAATAACAAGGATAAATTCACTCAAGTGTTTATATAATCAAGGCAGTGGTGAGTGTATAGGTAGAATGTGTATACTAGTAAGGGTAGAGGGGGAAATAACTATTGTCACATAGCGATAATATAATAATACATGATTCAGACAAACTACGTCTTCTTATCGCTTTGTCTAAATTTAAAGCGAACTAATTGTTTCAGATATAATAATAATAAAATAATAAATTGTGAAACCGAGATTAAAATGTACAACTACAGCACAGCATGATATTGATAATACAGTTAGCATTACAAATTAGATAAAAATGATAACATGACATTTACAGTTACCCGGTGTCACCATGACAGATAACTATTTTATGTTTGAGGCGAAGGCCAAGGGAGGGAGAGAGATTGAACAAACTTTTTCTGAACACAGAGATTAGGTTGAAAAATCTTTATGGGAACTGCCTCAACTATGCTTAGCAACCGAAGACGTACCAAACTTGAGAGTTGAAGTAGCACCTCGTAAAGAATTGTAAAAGCTGGTTTTTTGTCAGTCTTGTGCACCGTATCCCCTAGGTGTGCCAGTATGGAGCTTCTGATTGACTTTACGACTCCCTTACCAAACCACGTTGGACAATGCTCCAGAAGGTGACGGTGGGCTTGCCGAGTCGTTCTAGCTATGTAACTGTCTCCACATGAACAGTCAAATTTATAAATGCACACTGAAGTGGCAAGAATCAGTAGTGTATCCTTCACCTGCATTGTAATTTTACAACGAGTGACGAATTTTAAACACAACCATTGCGGCAAAGAATAACTCCATTATGGATAAGATTTTGTTTTGATAAATCACACAGTGTTATACAATAATATTAACTGATGACGTTTCGAGCACAAACTATTGCTCATAATCATATCAGGTTGAATGAAGAATGTTTTAACTATTATTTTTCGGAGTTTCATTTCCAACAATTCAGTCTGTGCGACTCCTTTAAACGGTAAAGTCATGCATATGCGTTTCTTCTGCACAGTTCGCAGGCATTTCTTTTTATCTGTTCTCCTAATAGAGATCTTAACAAATTTTTTGGGTTATCCGTCCTCATATAATAAGTTTTCTGTTTTCTTTGTTGCATCGTCTAGAGTGTCGGTTGTGCAGATTTTTGTAGCACGGTGCATCAGGGTACTGATAAGCTTTCATTTGTATGCAAAAGGAAATGGGTGTAGTGGAGAACCCATCACTTCTTCTGGAAAATACCCCACTTAATACTTCCATCTTGCCTTCTTGCAAACAGGGTATCAAGTAATTATAAAACCTTGTCTTTCTCCTAGTCATATGTGAACTTATTTTGTGGGTTAATCCTACTGAACCTCTGGAGAAGGACCTCGGCATAGATTTTATTATTATGCAAGGTCAAATTATGGTCCATATATCTACAGTAGAACGAGAGTTCGTTGATTACCATTTTTGAGTGAACGATTCTCTAATTTTGCCATAAACATATTGGCTAACAGAGGACCCAGAGAGGAGCCCTTTGCTACACCCTACACTTGACGGTAAAATTGGTCATTAAACTGAAACTACACATTCATCGTACGACAGAGTAGCAGTCCTCGCAATGTTTGAGGTGGTATGCCTACGTCTATATCATTTTTTTAATAAGAGATTCACAGATGAAGTCGATTGTCTCTGATAAAGGGATGGTAGTAAACAGGGAGGTGAGATCCATAGGGATCGTTGTGGTTCATCGCCGATCTTCTTATCTCTTACTTTCTCTAGACACTCACCACTGCCTTGATTATATAAACACTTGAGTGAATTTATCCTTGTTATCATTATTATTATTATTGTAGTTCACCTAGATTGTTATCCACTAATTCACATCTCTGAACTCTGGTCGTATATTTGATTAATCATATTGATTCAAATGTCTATGACTAATATTTCGTAATTATGTAAATGTGAAGCCTGATGAGAATTTCCCGTAAATACGTATTTGCTTAAATCGTCTTCTATAATCTCTTCTTAGTCTTATCGCATCTCTAATGAAACTTAGTTTATTCACTTACCTTACAGCCTAGTATTGCGTAATCTGATCATTTGTTTTCTAAGCCACTATCTACTGCGTCTGTCTGAACGGTTGTTTGTATAATCATGTCATTTTCCACTGGTCTTATCATTACAAGTCGGTCCATCTTCCAATCTTTATTATTATTATTATTACTAATATGCACATAACTAATATGACTAATTGCACAATTTATGTACACAGTTTTATCATCTGTCTGACAAAGCATCTAGACTGGTTTAAATTTAATATTCATTTGTAAAATTATGTATATTGAAGTGAAGGCTGATAAGAACTAGATGAAAAGAATATTTCAATTCAATTTTAGATGTTCCCGTCGATTGATTGGACCGAAGTGCTCGGTCTCAGGTTGACATGTCGGCTTCTTGTGCAGATGCTTCGACGATGTCTGGGCATGTAATTAGAAGTTAATTGGTGGATGGTCACTAGCAGTGGAATCCAGTCCAGGATGCGCATTTCGTCCTATTTGAGACTCGTCGACTGGATGTACCAAGCACTTCGGGCTATCAATCGACGGGGAAATTTAAAATTGAATTAAAATTTATATGACCCATTGCAAAAGTGGTGGCTCTCGTGGCCCAAGTGGCCTAGCGGATAACGCTTTGACATTTGAAACTGGGTTCCAGCCTCGGTGGGAACATTATCACTCACCGTGGAATGTAGGTGCATCCAGATGACGAGTCCCAAATAGGACGGAATGCGCGCAATGGATTCCACTGCTAGTCACCATCCATCAATTAACTTCGAAAAGAATATTGTTCTAAATCACTTCTATCCTTTGATTAATTTGGATAGCGTTATTTTACGTTACACCTGTCAACCTAATTCGCAACGATTAGTAATCACCCATGTGACATTTAGCAAATTTATCACCACTAGATTCATAAATCACGTATCGTACTAAAATTGCTGTGTATAGGTATAGAGCAACTGACACAGATCTAACTGGAAGGCGAATATCTCTTCACTTAACTTCTCTGTTAATTACTGATTATCAGAGGAGAGAAATATATCTGCAAAAAGCATGAAGGATAATTGACTTACGCGTAAAATATCATAACTTTGTGTATCGCCTCACGGGTGGCCCGAAATTGTGTATTCAGTGATTGAATCATTTTTATTAATTCATTCTCTCGTATTTTGTAGGTTGCCTGAACATCAGCTAGTAAGTGATTAGTGTATTTCTCAAGTCCATAAACAGCCTCTCTGGCGATTATCTGATCATTCGACTTGGCCGCATCAACTAGTCGCTAAATTATAAAAGAGAAATGTAATGGAGACCTCTCTTAATAGTCAAGAAATTCACCACTTCTGAACAGAAGAAAGAGAAATAAATGTAGAAAAACTTCAGACACATGTATATATATCTTTTGTTTAAACTCTTTATTTGCATAGTAAAGCTCACGGATTCACAGTCACGACACTTCGCAATGTTCAGCCATCCTTGTCTATTCTCAAAACAGTCGTACATATGTACACATTCTTCCAATCACCTTTGATGTGTATCCAGAATGGTGATTATCAGAAGACAGTAGCATAGAATACTTATTTACATTGCTGATAACATATTTTTCACCTTATAATGAAAAAAATTTGTGATCATCATTTTGTGCCTATTGGAATCGGCTTAAACATTAAATGATTAATTCCTAGTATAGCTTTACTGAATATTATAAATAATCAACTTGGCTGTGACACAGAACTCATCAACTTCTCATTATCAGCTACTGATTAAGCTATTTTTGGTGGATTTTTGGTCTTGTCCGGAGAATCAGTAATCTCCAGGATAACGACACAAGGACGTTCTGAATAAAGGCTTTGAACTCTGCCTTTGACCAAGTCTGAGTTTTGCATTATTGACTAGGTATCACATAACGTTGAATGGCATATTCACCTTTCGGATACTGTTTTTCTTATATGTCGTAACTCACAGTTATGAAGTGTTATTTTTACTGGATAGAATTCACAATCTGGAAATTACATAGCCCGAGGTAAAAATTCATGACAGTTTCTATTTATAAACCGAGATTATTTAGATAGCACTATCTGATCTACTCGATACCATGAATGGTGGTCAGCAAAGCGAGCTTACATACGTGATACTACAAACTACTGATTGATTGAAATGAGTAGGTGGATACAACTACCATCAACCAGCAGCGACAGCTGGCCATACCGAAATAATTTAACAACCGGTTTCCACCGTCTGGTGTTTAGATCACTTTTATCTGGTTAGCAAGCACTAATGGTTTTCTACTACTCATAACGATTAGTATGTATGTACTATTTCCAGTTCAGCTTATTGTTCATATTCTTACAAAGGTGGCTTTACAACTATCAAACTTTCTTATTGACGGTAACTAGTCTTCTCGTCCATATAAAATAAGAAGTTAAATTAAAAAGGCAGGAGCTTGTAAATAATTGTTGATGAAATTGTGCGCTAAATGAAGTGAAATCAGGATACAGTCAACTTTGCTGTCTAAGGTGATCAAATATTGAGGAGGTCAGTGAAAGAGAATGAAATTAAAGTGATTGAATGCGTTGTTAAAGTAGATGACAGCTAATTGCTTTGACTTTTTGATTGTAAATATCAAGATTCAAACTATTAATTGAGGAACTACTAAATGGATGTTTCAAATTCCATCTTCTTCTTTTGCCTGGTAATAGTTTTCACAGTAGTTAATTGGTGGAATCCAGGATGCACATTTCGTCCTATTTGGGACTCGTCACTGCACAAGAAGCCGACATGTCAACTTGAGACCGAGCCCTTCGGTTCAATCAATCGACGGGAAAATCTAAAATTGAATTAAATAGTTTTCATAGTAGTTTGTGCAGTATCTGTATGCTGAATGAAGGGGAGAGAATGCCTGAGTTTCTGTTTTCTTAACTCATCCTGAGATGAAAAACAATGAAATGGGTTGATTATTTAATTTAGCAAAGAGAACTCTACAGAATTGCCTTATTTCAAGTTGTTACATTTCAAAAACTGGAAAGCACAAATAGAACTCCGATGATACCACTGTATATATTAACCTGTGTTGGCTACGAAATCCTATTAAAATCAAACCGATAGTGAATGACTATATATGTGTCAGCTCATGACTTGAACCTATTTCGACTAATATTGATCAGTAGTTACTTTAATAATTTATATAAACGTTGGATCGAAAAACACTTTCGCTTCACTCATATTGTGAGCAGGTGATTTAGTGGCATGTGCCCATCTATAATAAACTGTAACGGTAGAAATGTGCAACTGACTAGTTAGACGCGTAACACATGACCAAATGCAGACATTAAGAAATGTAGGGAATTTTTAACAAAAAAATTTTTTTTTAAACGAGAGTTTTACTGCAGAACAATTAATCTCACTGTTATGTGATGAATACATTTTGAAATGGATTAAAAATGAATCAGCAAAACAATTTACTGTATATCCATTTGGTTAAGAAATACAGAAATCAGGGAGTACTGGACAGCTGTTTCATCCTTGTTTGATAATCATCGGCAGTACGCACCCACTGTCAGGGTTCGAACCCAGGACCTTCCGGCTACAGGGCAAGCTCGTATATCATTCAGCCACTGAGACCAGATTCAATGGCCAGTTCATGAATTCTAACTTCTACCAATTCGTGATTTAGCGCGACCCCAACCAATGTCGTTGGTGGGACATCCATCCTCACTCGTGACATCTGGTTGAATCTCACTGGTCACGACTTATCACTAGAACTCCAGGAAACTTCATCCTGTAGCAAGTCACTAGCGAGCATCAGATTAATTTTCTATAGTTTGGTTTGTAAGGGTTAGTTATGTTTTTACGAGTGGATCACGGATTGATATCAGCTAGAGAACCATAGAAAACCAGGGAGTACTGGACAGCTGCTGTTTCATCCTAGTTTTGGGAATCATCGGCAATGGTTCTCTAACTGATATCAATCCGTGATCAACTCGTAAAAACATAACTAACCCTTACAAACCAAACTATAGAAAATACAGAAATATTTACTTTCACAGGCAGGATAATATGAATTCTATCAACAGTATAAAAGTGGTTATCACTTCAAAATGAGATAATGTAGAGACTTATGAAATGTCAAGGAAAACGGAACACTTATGTGTATCTTGTCTAGGAACATTTCAACAATCCGATCTTAAGATATTGTGAGAGACTGAATTCAGGGTCGTTGGGTTACTCCGTAAAAATGTTACCATACAACCAATTAGCTGGCAGTTGAATGAACTTCTACTGATTTCCAAGGGCAATAGAATCATCAGTTTGAGTTGTTGACAAGAAATAACCATACCACTGATGAGGATGAAAGATTCCCCAAATCAAGTTGTATTCATTGAAGTCTGTCGGAAAATGAACTGAAATATATATTCAATCTATTCCTCACCAAACTTTGTGTACTTCTTGTTTACTGTGACGATTATTAATGCATTACATTGCATTGAAGTTTTCGTGACCTTTTTGCTGTTATTATCCACATAAAGTTCTATGAAATATGCAGTGAATAACTGTTATTCTGTAGAGATGACTAGTATACTTCCAGCTTCTAGGGGACCGATACATTCATTGACGGTATACCTATCTCCCTTAATCTCAAAATCATGAAACTAGTGACTTCTTTTCTAAGGAAAGCAGATTACAATGGTGCATTATTAATAATAGAAATAGTAATGGGAAAATCTTACAGTTATTCCGCTAATATGGTAGATCAATCTAGTTCTGAATTTGTCCAAAATGTGAGTTAACTTTTGGTTAGTTTTTGTTATCTCCGACTGTAGGTAGTCGCGTTCTTTCACAACCATATCAAGTTTCTAAAATTCAAATTCATGAGAAATAAAACTGGTGTTTAATATTGAGGAGTAGAAAGTGTAATATTATTATTAAAAAGATGCATCGAAACTCAAAGGTACAAATTATTATTATTATTATTGTATCCTTTAATTCCTAGAGGAACATAGGGCTTCAGCCATGTGTCTCCATTGCGTTCGGTTCTCTGCTACAGTCTTCACCTGGCTCCATGTCTGCCCACACGTTTTCATCTCCTCTTCACATGACCTCCTCCAAGTCACCCTTGCACTGACGACGAACTCGCCGCTTCCCTTTCGGGTTCCACTCGAGCGATGGCTTGTCTAGTGATGTCACTTGATGGTTTCCTCAGAGTATGGCCAGCCAATCCATCTCCATTTCTTCCTGCCTATTTGTTTCACAATCGGTTCCTGCTGTGTTGGTTCGCTCCCAGAGATCCATCCTCGTTGCTGATCTTTTCTGACCGGCCATCTGATCTTGAGTATTGAGCGAAGACAACTGTTAATGAAGGTCTGTAGTTTGTTTGAGATGCTCTTTATGACGCGCTGGCCAAGTCTCTGATCCGTATGTAGTAGCACTGACTGACTTCACATTGGAGTTGAAAATCCGGATGTTATTTTTGATGCTGAGTGTTGTTGACATCCACACAGACTTGAGAGTAGTGAAAGCTTGTCTTGCTTTTCCGATTCTTGCTTTGATATCCTCGTCAGTTCTGTCCACCTGTAGTTGAAACGATGCTTCCCAGGTAGGTAAAAGAGGTTGTTTCTTTCAGGTTCCTCCCATTTATGCTGATTGTTGTTGTACAAATGAACATCACTAATTCATATACGAGTTGCACAGTCGATGTTAGTCATGGCTCATTCGCATGTCCGGTATTTCTATAGCAAATGAAACAATGGACAACAACAGGTTCAGTGAGAACCTCTACTGCAGGAATATAGATACAACCATCTGATTTCCATTTAAATTCAAACAACCATCAACAGAAAGTAGGAAAAAGTTACCAATCAAGAAAATACTCTAACAGCTGTTGAAAAGGCTCATATAAGAAAACCAAGCCAACCAGTTCTATCTCAAATTATCAACGCTCAGTCATTAGTCTGTTAGACATTGTAAAGAACTTGTACATGCACATTAAATGTACCTTGGGAATTTTTTTCACCATCTCCACTCTGTATCTTTCTACAGCATTCTCACTTTTTGCCCTCTACTTCTCTCTTACTCTTTCTTAACACCTAGATGGTGCATTATCTTTCTTTGCGATATGTCCATATGCTATTTGGATGGATGTGTGAAAACATGCAGAAACACATGGACATACACACGCAATTTTAGGAACAATAAGATGTTATTCATTGTCCGTCTTGAAGCAGAGCACCTTATAAAAAGTTTCGACTCCCTTGGGTTAAACACTTTTATATATGTACACAGCAAAAACAAATAACTACTGAGACATTTGGGGAATGGGAATCCAGTTGTCAATCAATGCAACTGTCTAGACCTAAGAGATATACGGACGATGTATACACAGTGTCATTAAGCTGAGCGATGAGACAGTATAGTATAGTAGACTGATGTTTTGGTAGTAGGAAAAAGTCATTAGAAAATTTTTTTTTCTATTAATGCATTTTCTAGGCAAAAATAAAATTCAAAATTGTCAGTAGATATACTGTCAGTTAGGCATAGTGTCTGAAGTTGATTGTAAGTACAACTAAGGTATAATGAATTGACAAAATAATAATAATAACTTATCATTTAAAGTGTTTGTTGGATGAAAACATCTCACATTATTTCCTGCAAATATATCCGTTCTTGCTTTGTTCAAATTAACCTAGGAAGTCTGGTATATAGTATCCGTCATTCATTTGGTGATCATTTCTCATGGTCAAAGTAGGAGGGAAATATAATCTAAATGGTAGCATAGGTTGCACTCTAGTTCAAAAGTAATTGATACCTGTGAAGGCAGTTAGTTGTGATTGAAGTTATTTATTTGTTTGTTTGTGCACACACCACTGAGATGTATTCATAAAAGGCTTTATGCAAATCTCTTCTTATATCTACTTTCAGGTAAACACATATTCACCTTTATTGTCTAGACACGTAAAGAGGTGTTTTCCCCTTTGTAGTAGTAGATGAAGTAAAATACCGGTCATTTATATTATGCGGATACTTCAAAGACCTAGATGCAAATATTTCATGATCGCGTAGATCAATGTATTGCAAAGTCTCAACATCTTTTTTTTGCATAGCGATAAGTTTATGACTTTTCAATTCATTCCTCCTACCTAAGTTGTTTTCAGGAAACTAAACAGAAGAAGACATTAAAAATTCGTCTGCTTATCTCTGTTAGGTGTTGTGCAACGTTACATTCTACCTGCAGACAAAACTTTTTGATAAATACCTTGCAGTCTGGCTGATAAGAAAAGGAAGAGAATGTATTTTCAAAGGTTTAATTATGGAAACAGCGTTTTAGAATGAAGGTTCTACTAAGTTTGTAGGCAGAAGTTTTTATCTACACACAACAGGAATGAAATAAAAATGCCTTTTAGCACTTCGATTAGTCTAATTCTAGAATCTCACAATACTTATTTAGCATTCCTAAGAAATTCCTACTAACTGTTTATTCTTTGTAACCATTACAAAGCTTTCAGTCGAGGATATTTCATCTTCAATCCTGTCTGGTGAAAACATAATCAACTGAAAAGTTTGTACCACATATGCTTCCTTAGAAAATTCTAGTCATAACGGATACATGGGCTTCGTTTAAAATATGGATGGTATTATCTTGTTGATACATACCAACAAACACAAAATCTGGTTCATTTAGAGCTTCCTAATAAATGACACTTCGTCTCAGAGACAATGACTATCTGTTTTGCTTTTTAGTATATTTTCTCGCCCCCGTGTCCAGTATAGTTATTATTGTGGTATGGTTTATGCTTTACCGGCTAGTTTTATGGACTCGTGGCTGTGAAAACCGTATATCAAGTTACCGTTTCTACAATTATGTGAATGAATATTTGGAAATACAAGATAAAAGCCTAAGTCACGTAGCTTCACTATGGATATATATATTATATGATGGACAAAACTGGCAGTGTGAGTGAAAACAAATAAATCATCGAGTTTCACGAAATAATAAATCAAGAAGTGCAGAGAAATAAATCTAGGCCATTATTTTCGTTTTGCCTGTTGTTTATTTCACATTTCTTAACATATATATAGAATATAATTTATGCCTCTAACTCTTTATGATGTTGCTTTCTCGTACATGCGTTTTTTTTGTTGTTTGAAAACAAATGTTTATGCCTCCCTTTCGAAGAATATAAATAACATGTTAGTGGAAATAAGCTACTTATTTGAGTTATTAGCCCAATGTAACTAAACACACAATTAAGTGAACTGAAAGAATCCAGTTATCATTATATTGACTAGATAGTTTAACACTCTACAACCGCACTCACAACCAATGACCGATCAACACATCCATCATAATTATACAACAACATTTCAAATGCGCACAGAAGAATTCAATCGTAAAGTCGATTGTTGCAATAGTCAGTGAAACAGTTTTGTATCTCTAAGATAGTGGCATCAAAATCTTCGCGTTTTCAGATAAACGTTGCTGGCTAGTGTCTATAGGGACGAAAGTCAGGTTCACAGCTTCATGTTGATTACTGCAAGTCATGTAATATGAATACTATAGCTCGGTTGCTGCTCTATGAAATATACTTCACAAAATCACTTTTATGGCTCATGCTTTTCAGCTTACAGAATGTACAATTTTCGTTAGAAACTGATAAGTTGAAAGAATCAACAGAGGTATGTTCTCATGTATATATAACGTGCTGTTACTGGAGAATCCAATGTATTAATCAATTTCAAACTTTATTCACACTTATGTAATATCACTGTATACTTGACCTCTCAAATCAGTCTAACCTTCATGATATCACTTTCAAGTAGGCACTGAAGCTCCTAGAATTGAAGCAGAACAATATGCTAAATGCCTAAAACTAAACTAAAATAAAATTACAATAACCATAACTACATTAAAAGCCTGTTCTGCAATGTTTCTGCTTATAATTTAATGGCAAAAGTGTAGACAACATCCGTCGTAACGGAATTAGATCCACATCTGTTTTCTAACTGAATACTATCCATGCCTATGTAATGTCTTCTACTATGGCCTAATTCAAACAGGATACTCAAGTATTGGTTTGTAGGGATTTGGTTGATTGGTTACAGGATTTCATCATAAGCTGACATCAGTTAGAGAACCACTGGAAAACCACTAGGGAGTACTGGACAGCTGTTTCGTCCTAGTTTGGGACTCTTCACAGTAAGCACCCACAGGGGTTGGAACCCAGGACCTTCTGGTTACAAGGCGAGCTCGTAGACCATTGGCCCATAAATTCTAACTTCTGCCAATTCACGATATAGCGCAACCGCTAGCCAATGTCTTCAGGTCATGATGAAATCCTGTAACCAATCAACCAAATCCTTACAAACCAATACTTGAATATCAGTGAGATGCTCACTGGCGACTGGTCCTATTCAGATAGTTACCTGAGGTTCCAGTGGGAAGTCGTGACCAGTAGGGTGCAGCAGGTTGGGTGTGAGGAGAAATACTCGCCGAAGACATTGGTTAGCGGTTGCGCTATGTCGTGAATTGGCAGAAGTTGGAATTCATGGGCCATTGAATTAGTGGGTCCCAGTGGCTTAATGGTATACAAGCTCGCCTTGTAACCAGAAGGTCCTGGGTTCGAACCCCGGTGTGTGCATACTGCTGAAGAGTCCCAAACTAGGACGAAACAGCTGTCCAGTACTCCCTGCAGGCTTTCCAATGGTTCTCTAACCAATGTCAGCTCATGATGAAATCCTGTAATCAAACAGGATACCTTTTCCTCATGGTATAATACTTTAGTTGGTGTACAGCACCAAAAGTCCCCAGTTAGCTAATTATTCAATAACATTTTTACTTTCTTTCATCTTAGATTTGCAG